TTGGGACCTTAGGGTTGCTGGCCCCTTGTTTTCCCAGCCTGTCTTCTGCAGGAGGGGCCTGCCGCGCCGTTAATCAGGCAACCCTGTTGTGCGGAGTTGCCCTGCCCCCCTGTGGCGGGGGATGGGCCCAGCGGGAATCAGTTTTGGGGGCTTTTGTTCTCTGGCGGCTTTCCGCGTCTCTTCCACAAGTCAGAGCAGAAGAGACCGTTTCCAACCCTCTGTCTCAGAGCAGAGAGATCGCCGTCTGTTCTTCGGTGAGCTCTCCAGGCCACACCGTCTCCGTTTGTCTGTGCTGCTATAAACTGCAGTGGCCTGGGTTGTGCACCCCTCCACAGCACTCCCGGTCCTACCTCCAGGTCAGAGCACGTCTCTGCCCTTTGTGCTTCTAAAACTGCCAGCCGCTCCCAGTTCGTGTGCGCGTGACCCCGCCACTCTGGGTTCCTGCCCCGGGGGCTGCCCTAGAGTCCTTTCCCCGCCGCTACCAGTCTGCGAGTCTGTGCCCGTCCCCAGTGCACGAGGCTGTCGCTCACCGGCAGTGTAGGATCCCCACGGCCAGGCACCCTCCCACTGCCGTTTATCCTCCGATATCTGCCCGCGGAATCAGAGCTCCCCGCTTTGTACCTCAAAACCAACCGCCTGCCTTATTCCGATTGTAGAGATCCAGATCTTCTTACATCTCAGGTTGGTTTCATGGGTGCTCAGAGTGGTCTGGTAGATATCCAGCTCAATTCCGGGGACCAGTTGAAATAGGGTCCCCTACTCCTCCACCATCTTTCCCCCCTCCCCGGAATTATTGTTGATATCACTGACGTAATAATGTGACTGCATGATTTGTTTTCAAAAAAGGGGATACCTCTCTATAACAGAGACATAATTAAAAATTTATGGATGAAATTGCATAATATTTTGAATTTGCCTTAAAATATTCCTGCCACCCCACCCTCCAAGTACAGAGTGGTGTAACAGGTAAAACAAGAACAGCACAACATATAGGTAAAAGTAAAGGTAAATGATGGATAAGTAACCTGCCTACTTTTATGCATATTTGAAAATTTCCACAGTGAAATGTTAAAATAATCATTTTGATTTCCAAGCCATTCTAAATCATATGTCATCAATGGCATCCCATACTATGGCATTACCTATATATTTAGTAAAAGGGAAAGAGTCAAACTAAGCCATTAACCGCTGCTCCAAAGACATCCCTTCAATTTTTACCTCCATTAATAACATGTTTTGTGTACACTATTTAACCTCCTACACATTTACCTATGAGTACCCTCATCTTCTGTACTGGTACACTAAGGTATTCCTTCCCTGACACTATAGGTCGCCATAGCAACTAAATGACTAGAATTGTTTATGATATATATAGATAGCTAATAATACAAATAATCTAAGAAAAATTCAGGAATTAATTTTAATTAATTTTAATAAAATAATTAAGGATATTTCATAGATTTAATTGAGCCAATATCAAATCATGAAATAATATAAATTAAGACTTTCTCATAAATGTCTTAAGTGTTTAAAAATGTTAGTTTCACAGCAATTTGTCCAGTTAAAAGACTAAATTTCCCACCCTCCTTTGTAACTATTGAGATATAAGTATAAATCATTACATAGAACTAGATAGGATAGGGAAAAATTTCTCAAACAGGGCTTGCTCAGCTGAAAAATATATATTAACTCATCACCACTTCTCCTGCTTTTTCTTCCAGGCCTAGAACACTGATGTGATCACTGGAACTCCAGCTGCTTAACTTGGAGGCTAATGTGACCATGAATATTGGAAGCCACAGGCTACAGATGATGGAGAAGACAAAAGGATCCTAGGTTCCAAATGATTACATGGAGCTTCCAAAGTCTCATTATACTGCCTGGCCCAGTATTTCTTTTATATAAAAGAAAACTAAACATCCATTTGTTCATGATATTTGAGAGTTCACAACATATAAACTAATGCTAATTGCAACTGACAAACAAGTTTAAAAAAGTATATAATTAATGTTAACTGGGGCGCCTGGGTGGCTCAGTTGGTTAAG